CTATGTAATCTGTATGCAATGTTCAACACAGTACTTACATAGACTATGTTTTTCCTATTTATCATGACAAGTGCCTTTGAAAAATAATGCAATCTATAGTTTAAATAGTCACTATGTAATCTGTATGCAATGTTCAACACAGTACTCATATGTAGTCTATGTTTTTCCTATTTATCGAAAATGAACTAGCTTTTAAATACCAGTAGTCACTATTCAAAGCAGTTTTTGTCTTTTCAAGTCAATTATACAAATGCTGCATATTGTTTCATCAAATTTTAGTCTTTTTCATAATGGTTTGGCAGTAAACAAATGAAAGAGCCTGATGGTACATCCACTTTGATGAATTTTTCCAGAATGTTTGTCACAGGAACAGCAATCAACCTATAAATACAATTCTAAGTAAATGTTATAAGATTTCATTTTATCATCACATTTATAACTGAAAATAGGTACCAATTAAGCTGACTGGATAGATACATACATGTATATTGACATTATTGAGCAGAATTCAAATGAGTGAATATTTACTTACCTTACAAATCATGATTGTCTGTATACATATACATATACATACACGTATCAAATATACATAGTTATATTTTTTACATCCTTCTTGTATTCTTTATAAATAATATTACATCTACCTGTTTGTTGGGTTCACTCTGATGATGTGGTTAACAACAGTCCTCTCCCTATATCTGGGGAGCTGCTCSACATGACTCTCCAAGACTTCAATGATGGCAACATATCTTGAACTCAAATGRCATGTGCMCATCCGATCTMTGCACCTTGCATTCATACACTTCTCTTCTAGTTTTACATAAGTGTCAACAGAGCCATACAATTCCTCTTCGCCTTGTCGGCATTTCACTGTGAAGTCATTTCTAGCTACAACTCGTTTATAGCTCTTACTATGGAAAATGACTCCACCAATAAAACACCGGCGAAAAACCCAAAGCTTGCCATGATGTTTTGGAATAGCAGCCATCTGCTTTTCTGAAAGCAATTTAGAAGAAGTGGTTCCCCACACCCGTTCAAGAGAACCAAGAACATGAGCATTTTCTTCTATTTTATCTTTCAAAGAGCTAATAGGCAAAACATAAACAGAATTTTTATCAGTGAAAGCATTATTTTAAATAATAGTTTTTATTATTACCATGCATTAGAGCGCTTGCTTGTTAAATGGTCATAAAATGCTCTGACTTCTGAAGATGTAGTTGTTGCTTGAGCAATTTCAGGCAGCTTCTGGGTGACTGAAACAGCTGTTACAATCTAGAAAAACATTTTAGGAAATAAATTGCAATTCCTAGATATAGTTGCACCTATGTGTCATATTGATTCAAACTGTTTATTAAGGAAATCAAAGGAACTTCTGGAAATAGATCCCCTTACTACTAGATAGAAGAAGAAAAAAACAAACAAACAAACAAACCTGGCCATCTACGTTATTCGATCCATGAAAGAGGTCTCTGAGATCCCCATTGTAATCTTCAAATGGGAAACAAGAGTTTGACCATAATGGGCCAGCATCCTTAACAACTTCAGGCAAATGCAGCAACTGGTGAACATTGAATGTTTGGAATTGCTTCCCTGAATAACRAAATTTAATTWAAAAAAACAACAACTTATGACTGCAACATATTTTCATGTAGATTATTACATGAATGTATAATATTATTATTAGTACAATGCATCCTTTGTGCCAATATAAAGAACAGGAYCTCTTATCACCTACCATAATATACAGGTGCTAGAGCTGTAAAAAGTCTCAAGTAAGTTGAAGCTTCTTCAATGTCACTTCTTGAAATTGATTGCTTCAGCAATCTAAACACTCCACCGCTTAGCATCATCAGTGAGTGAAGATAATCAGAACTCAGATATGGAGATAGAAGAGGGACTGAGTAGTACAGCAAAAAAGCCCGCTTTTCAGAAGCTGAAAATTCATAAAATTATTATATAGACATAATATTATGCTTTCAAAATAATTATTGCATGATGATTTAGTTAAACAACATTAGATTGGTGATTACATGTATTTATAAACCTGAGAGATTTGTTTTTATCATACATCTATAAAGTAACACAGGTGGTGTTTGACATAACACGGTAGGCATAGAATTCACAAAAAATTAATTTTTTTAAACTACATGCATGTAAAAAAACCTACCTTTCCATTGCTTAACATCGGCAAGACTCCTAGGTGTGCGGGTTATCTCCAATGTTGGTCTTATGGCTTTAAGCTCTTTACTTATCTGGTCAATCTTGTTTCCTAAGTAGAATGCTTCCTTGGAGTTTGTTTTATTGAGCCATTTTGAGAGCAGTTGATCCACGACACCTTCGCAAACACAATGCATGTAATCAACAACTGTTCCCTTTATGACATCAAACATTGGAAGGCCAAATCCCCAACTCAAACCAACTACTCCTTCAACTGCAAACTTAATAAAAAAAATAAGTAAATAAGAATGTCACTTGACTTTATCCAGGAACCTCTGTGATGAGGATTCCATAAGTGGGGCAATCTAAGTTTTTCTAACCTTCTTGTTATGGGGTTTATTTCTTATAGCCTCGAGGGCTTGTTTCTTGACTTCATCATGACTCCGTAGCCCCTTATGCCCTGTAGTTGCAGCAAATTCTTTGTTAAATGGATAAATGTGGCTGCTCCGCCTGGATTTGCCTTTGCCAGGCCCTAGATCAAGTTGCTCCCCAGGTTCTTTACATTTACCACATCCATGGTATCCATTAAACTGTTTGATTGCTTGCCACACAGCTCTAGCTGGAGAATCGACAGACATCTCCAAAACTATGGCTTTCATCATAATTGTGTCTGTTATTCTTACACCTAAATACAAGTAAAGCATAACAACAACAATAAACACAGGTGATTTGATTTTGGACAATAAGTTCAGCTTTCTTTTTAAATACCAATAGTTGTTATCACCTTTGAAGTAGAGATTGCGCAGGGACATGGAGAATGGCCTTAGAAATGTGGGAAAATGGGGCTTTCCTTTTCCAAACCATAGTCCTGAGAAAATTCGGTTGCTTCGGCGAATCCTGCAAAAAGTTAAAGAATAATACTTCGATTCCATACTAAATTTGAAATAAAAAGAAAGAGGCAAAATGTATCAATTAAGTAAAATTAAGAGTGAAAATAAAAAAAAAAGAATTAAATGCAATTCAAATAAACAAACCTCTCCTTTGGTGGTAGCTCATTGATAACAAAGTAAACTGGCCATACTCCATAACTTGTGGATTTTATTAAGGCAACCCCATCTGTATTACCTAAAAGAGATATATTATGTGGATCCCAAAGAAACTTCCCAGGAGAGAAATGCATCTTGTACAATTCACCATCAAAAACATCTTCAATAGAATCATCATCTTTTTCTCGTTGAAAGCGATAATGCAGTTTTTCCAGCATCTCTTTACCTGTTGACATTGTGATAACAGAAATTCTATAAAATATAGCTTTTTATTACACTGTCATAGAATGACAGTTACATGTAATTTATTATATAAAGTGAGGTTTGATATTAATATAGTTTTGTAGTCATGTTTGTTGTCACAAAAACTATTAGCTACTAGTTTTAATAGTTAAAACTACCTAATAGATATTTTTTGATTTTATTGCTCTTGAAGTAAATAAATATTCATATTGGCAATACTTACGTGAAAAAATAGTCTTGATTTGTTCCTTAATGGGAATTTCAATGAAATATGCTGATTTGGAGAGATAAGTCTCACACACTTCACATTTATCAGATTCAATGGGAACAGATGTGCCAGTGTAATTTTGACAGACAGTGTTGGGGCAGTAGTAATGATATACAATAGGATGCTTTAGTGCTTGAAAAAACATTTTAAATTCCTTTATCTCAGTTGTGCACTTGTTTGGCTTAGGGCAGTGCAGTTCAATCAATTTTAGCAAGTCTTCAAGAGCCACACCAGAAAGTTTGTGACGTACTGCAAATGCCATTATAAGCAATGAGCTTTCATCAGTTTTCAATGTAGAGTTGTCATAAAGTGATTCATTATCGATTGTTTCCTCTTGGTTTTGAATGTGTGTTGAAAATGATTTCATGTCTGGAATATCTTCTTTCAAATTAATGTTGTCTATGAGTGGACCCCCTTCAATGTCTGGCAGGCATTGGTCATCATTTGGCTGCACATTTGCTTCTTCATTATCCAATTCTTCTTCATAGACAGTGTTCTGCCAAGTGATTTGATCTATCAAATCTTTGCTCGTCTGCACATCCAGTGCTACTGATCCAGCTGATGCAGATATGGCTGCAATATCAAAGTTTTCATAATCTGCCAAAAAAGGATATAATTTCCTTTTCATTAAAAAAAAGTTAAGCACAATTTATTGTTATGATATTCTGCATGTTTTATGTCAAAGATGTAAAGTCATGCAAATATTTCAATAAGTGTCAATTTTTAAGTTGATACATGCATGAATACATGTATTTTTTAACTTAAACTTTGACACTTCCATTATAGATTAGGACTCGATATTAAAGAAATTCTATTAATAAGATAAGTTAAGCTTAAAATAAAATAAGAATATCATTATTGTAACAGTTATAATACTATCCATAATATCTTGTAAGAGTAATAGCATATAATTATAATATTATACTAAATTTATGCTATTACGCTTACAAATAGGCTTATACAACATGTAACTTATTAATAATCTTACCAATATTATCCATCGAGGAGCCGCCTTCTTCAATTAGGTTACATGTAGGTTGTGATCCTTGAATGAAATGTTTCGTTGCGTTAAATTTAGTATTTGAACTATTTATAATTGGATCACATAAACTGGATTTCTGAGTATGTTCTCTTTTCTCGAGCTGCTCTTCGCGAACTGAGCAGCTAGGTAGAATCTTTCGTTGCTTGAGCGGTGAAATGTTTTCCCGCAAATCAGTGATCTCGTGCATCGACGTTGTCTTTTGCCTAAGGTCAGCATCATCGTCTTCACCTTGAATTTCTTCGTTTTTGCGACGCCATTTGGACGTCCTTGGAACTGAAACATCAGAATCATAAATCCAACGCTTCCTCCACGATTTATTTGACATTGTTCACGCAAAATATTATTGTCGTCGTAATAGAAAGGAGTCCTTTTGTCGTCGTAATCGACCGCGATCTGGACGTGCGCGACGTGCACCAGTGCAGTGGCGCCAAACTCGGCTGACAGACCGCTGACATGTGTAGGGAAACGTCAGCAGAAAATTGTCCAATCAAATACAAGAGATTTTTTGAAGTTTGGCGGTGGATTGGTTATTGACAACTTGTTGTGTTTCGGCATTTATTATCCCTTTATTATATGTTGACAGTGGCGGAAAAGAAACAAGAGAAGTGTTACATTCCATCATAGACGCTGTTACATTCCAGCATAGTCGCGATAAAGTCTATTAAGGTTCATTCTTACCGTTGTTAACTTCACGCGTTGTGCACGTTTGTTCCGACTACAAGACTACTACGTTGGCATTCCGATTCCTTATCAGTTAAAAACATATAAACCTTTGTTTCTAACCTTTCAACTTGTGATCAAGGAGGTAAGTAAGCTTTTGTTGTGTAATCTATTTAGCCTAATATGAATATTATCGCGGAGCTCGCCAAACGGTTTTACCAACGATCGCCAACGTTCTATCGGGTGTACTTGAATCATTCATTTAGGCTTGAGATGAGATTCTTAACAAAATTAAGTATTAAGCTTAAGTTATAGTTGCGTGATATTTTTTTGGTAAAAGCTTGTTATCATTTAGTTTCTTTGATAGGCTTGGGTAGGTAAAGGGGCATTAAATCCACGTGCCCATTCATTTTTCTTGGATCCCTACACATATAGAAATCAAGATTTTCATATTTAGAAGTATTTAGTTGGCTGATAAAAACACGATAATTTTGATCAAAGGTTGATTTGTCAATGAAACGTGTTAGCCAGAAATTTCATATCATCAATTTCGATCTTAGATGGCATTGACGGGACACCTGGAAATCAATATTTCAAGTGTAATTAACTTATCAATTCAAACYGCGAATCAATGATATATCATGACAAGAAAGATCGAGCGAGCAAGCTATTTCATTCGGAATCCCAGCTACCTGCATTGTAGCGTGTTTGCATTGGAAGGACACTTCGCATCACGTGATGATTTAATGGCGGGAAATGTTAAGTGCTTGAATAGAATATACTGACTAGTTTAGTGATGAAATATATGGCAGCCCGTTCATGCAAAATACACATCGAAAGTGGCATCATGTACACGAAAGATCTTTATACTGTGAGTTGACTAGTTTTCTGAAACAGTAAGAGTGGCATAGATCATGTATATGAGCGATCTTTATGCTGTGAGTTGACTAGTTTTCTGAAACAGTAAGAGTGGCATCATGTATATGAGCGATCTTTAT